CTTCATTATTTTATTTATTTATTAATTATTTTATTTACCGTTCAAGGTTAACATCAAAACTTTCGGTTGGCACCGAAATATTTGGAGGTCTAATCTGAAAGATTGAATGTTAACACTCAAAAGTGGGAGTGAGTATTAAAGCTTGAAGGTTGACACCGAATTGTTTGAGCTTTACCTTGAAAGTTTCAGGTTCAACACTACTCACTGAGAGTTAACACTGAAATTTGGGAATTGATATCAAATCATTTGGAATCTGTCCTAAAAATTAGAGGATCTATCCCCAAATTTTCAGGGTTAATACGTAACTTTTATGGTCACCCTTACGAAAAAATATTATAAGAAAACTATTGGGAAACTACTGATTGATAAAAGTACTACTGTTTCAACTATTGAAAAATTATATCAAAACTGTTTGTAAAATTAGTGAATAAATTTTTTAATAATGCTATAATAATTACGCAATAGTTTTTTAATACTTTTCAATAGTTTTTCAATAATATTTCAACGGTTTTCCTATACTGTTCTCAATAGTTTTTTCATTAATATTTTTCCGTAAGGGCAACCCACAAATTTGAGAGTTAACCTTCAAAATTTGGGGGTTTTTTTCGTAAGGGTACAGATATGAATTTCATATGAATAACTAGATATAGATACAGATACTTTGAGAATGTAAAAAATCTCTTCAGATACTTTTCAGATTACGGAGCGCTCAGTGAGCTCTTAAGGCTTGTCTACAATAAAAGTCGTAAAGAGTCATAAGTCGTAGAAATTGACTAATCACGGTCGATTATTCTTCTCGAGCCCAATTATGACTGGTCAATTTGTACGACTTACGACTCTACGACTTCTATTGTAGACGAACCTTTATATTTCATTGGTACATATTTTTAGATCTAAAAGAATATGCCAATGGGATACAAAAGGTCACTGAGCGTTCAGTAAGTGGTTGTAGTATAGTACTGAATGCACCCAATGAGCGCGTTTAGCAGAAAAAGCGCTTAATGAGCAATCAGCGATTATTGGTTCTTACTGTTAGATCCCTAAATTTAAACCAATTACATTGACGAATTACTTAACTGCTGCGTAAGGATGCAAACTCATGCAGCGGAATAGCGGAGCGCGGGACGAGAGCGGAACCAATCACGAGCGTTCCGCGTTTTTCAACAGTTTGTCAGCAATTTTTAGCGGAATCTGCGGAAAAGTTTTGTGGCAGACTGCGTAATAGACGTGGGCTGATATAACCTAAAATTAAAAAATAATGTGATAGAAGTGTAATAAAATATCAGGTGCAATGATAAATATCAGTAAATGGTTAATGACAGTTTACTTCAAATAAATATTGTTTTGGAATTGACATGTTTGCTTTCTGTAAAAAAAGGAATATTGCATTTAGGGCATTTGAATGTTTTATGAATCGAAATTGAATTATTATAATATGTATCCCTTATAGAAATATCATACTAAGAATCATTGATAATTACTTATTTTCAGTATTAAAAATACTGGATAATAAGTAATTATCAATGATTCTTAGTATGATATTTCTATAAGGGATTGTATTTAGTCTTATATTAATGTTTCTCATATATTTTATATATATAAAATACATGGTGGATCAAATCAGGAGCGGTGCACTTGGACACGGTGCATTTGGACACAGCCAATCACAGCACCGTGTGATTAGAGATATTTGTAGGGTCCCTTGGACTATGCAACTTGTGATTGGACTATGTCCAATTGCCCCGTGTCCAACTGATATACACCCGATCAAATCTGTTTTTGTATGTAATATCAAGTAATATAATACTAAAATTTCTTTATACATTAAGATATAAACTTATATCCTAAAGTACCCTTATAGAAATATCATACTAAAAAATACTGAAAAATTATTAATGATTAAATATTACCAGTAATTCAGTAATTTTTTGGCCAGTACTTAATTTCTGGTGAATACTGATAATAAAATCACTGTTA